CAAATCCAGACTGATCTCTTTCCTAAAACTGTTTTTGTCTCTCTTTTAAATCCATCCTTTATGGTCCACATGATTTTCAAGTTGGTTTTCCTTTTAAGATCATTCCTTCTCCAAGTCTACCTTCCTGTCTCACTTTTAAGTTTAATGTAATTCTGCACCAAACTCTTATTGTGTTTGTGTATGTTAGTGTCTGTGTTTTCAACCTTTCTTTGCCTGATTTAGATAAGAGTAAGGTTCATTAGATGCCTGCTCCTGCCACTCTTTCCTTCATGTTTGTATACTCTTCTCATTCCAGTTAGGAAAAATAGTAAGTTCCTTCTCCTTTACTGGCTGTTCTTAAAAAAAAATATTAAGGTGTTTGGATAACAGCAAGTTTCCTTGACCATCTTTAGAACAGTTTAAATTTACAAGAACATATATTACATTGAAGAATCACAAAATGTCTTCCTGAATTTTCTGAACAATACTTACTTTTGAATAAAATTATTTGCAAAAGTTTGAAAGAAATACAGCATGATTTCCAGTTCAATGTTCCCCTTAGTTCCTCAGTTACCATACCTGCAGTCACAACTCATTAGCTTACAGCAGCATTAAAGGATGACCTGAGGCTGTCTAAGAATTTCATCCAGAAACCTCATAAAATTTCCCCTTTAGATTGCCTACCATGTGTCAAACATTCCTTTGCTAACAGAATTACAGTAAAAGATTGTTATTTTCCCAAGCCAACTCTTGGCCAGTTCCATATAATATCCCAAATGTCTTGTCAACTAATTAACAAGAGATAAAAAATACCTATTAAGTGCCCATCACAGTGTTAGATCTTGATAGATACAGAAAATATAAGAAAAATTATCCCAGATATCAAGGACATTACATTCAATCCATTTAGGGAGAATAATATAACTGAAACAAAAATACAAGACAATATACAATTACTTATTAAAATGTGTGACAAACTCAAAGCTCTGGAGGTAGCTGATGCTTACTAGACCAATCATGTAAAGTTTCTTGCGGAAGGAGACTAGAAAAAAATATCTTGTTCATAGTAGTTGCTAAATGATTATTCAAATGAAATCAATGAAATAAAAATATTGAGGAGGAACAACATCTTAAGAGCAGGTAGTCTTTGAGTAGACAAAGGAGAGTAAAGAGGGTATTTTTTGAGATGATGAAAACAATACAACCAAAGACAGGGAGATAAAAATGAGGACATTGTGTAAGTAAGGCAGTCAAAGTGAAGAGTCTGTAAATATTGTTGAAAAGTGAGAAATCAGATTAAAGATCATAGCAGAATTGTTTAGCAATAAACTAAAGACTTTTTCTATGCCACTTTTGAAATGGTAGAACAATGTGACAAGGAAACCATGAATAATTTATGGAAACAGGTGAGGATGTGTATTTACTTTTCACTAGCTATGCCACAGTTATGGTCTAAGCAGGGCTTCTTAAACTTTTTCTACTTGTTACTCCTTTTTGCATTTCAGCAGCATTGGGTGGTATTGCGTGGCCTGAGGGCATGCACAATGCAAAGCATGCATGCTTTTGTGTTCAGAATCAAGGCTGTAGTGAAGTAGTGTGATGCAACATGGGCAAGTGCTGTCAGAAACACCTTGGACTCATCTGTTTGATTTTTAACTAATTTTTGGTCACTACTCATTCAGAAACTTTTTTCTGTTGCCAAATTTTTTCTGACCCCACATGGGCTCGTGACCCACGGTTTAAAAAGTGCTGGTCTATGGGGCTGTGATTGCATAATTATTTAATAACGAACTTCTGTACAAGCATAGAAGGACAGGGGATGTCCCTGAGAAGAACCAGAGGAGAGATGCCTGGGCACTCTGTGGATTTAAGCCAGCCCACACTCCTCACCTGTCCAACAAATACGCACGTCTTCTTCCTATTATTCACTACCACATTATGGGGAGAGAATTAATAGTGAAAAATAAGACTTCCTCAGTTTAAAACTATCTAGCTCTTATTCTATGAAATAGACATTTTTTTCTTTGACCTTGTATGTAAAGTGTTTCACAAACATTAAAATAATGTAAAGATGTCAGTTATTGTGCTAGTTATCATACTAATAATAATAGTAGAAATACTTAATACTTGTGCCTCAAAAACTGTTTCTGTGATAATCATTAAGTCATTTGGTCAGGAAAGGAACTATTTCATTTCTATCTTTTTATCTCTAACACCTAATATACCATCCAGTATATAGTAAGTGATTAATACATACCTGTTGATTGATGTATTGATTAACTTCTCTGTATCACACTTAACTAATCTATAAAATGAGAGGCTTAGACACTAGTTCTCTACTAGCCACACTTTTATGAACCTCTGACCCCTCCTTTTGCATAGCATCTCACCATCCAGTGTCCAAGTCCTAAAGAACTCTACTCCCTGCAAACTCTAAGACTTTACAAGCATCTTACAAAATAATTCTTGACAAGCTGTTAGTGGAGACAACCAGAGAGTACAAATACAAAAAAAAAAATTTTAAATACAATAAAATAATGTAAGACACTTTTGATAAAATATTTTTGTAATTTTAATTGTAATATATAAAATAACAGTAATAGTATAAATGTGGTAAATAAGGTCTTTTTTGCATAGTTTCTCAAAACACATTTTTCAATGTTATTTCTACTCATAATTATTTTTCAACCACTAATCATGATCAGTATTTTATCTTTATTACATTGATAGAAGAAAAATCACATTTCACACAAATAAGCTATTGAGAATGGTAGCAAAACTGGTATCACTTTGATGAAACAGAGAAGCCTTTTTTTTTTTTACTTCTAGCCAAAACGTAATTTGATGTTCAGGTCAAAATGCTTATTTCAATATATCATCACAAGAAGTATATTAATCTTTTTTTTCAGAGAAAAACCAAATTGGTTGTATTTATCCATGGCACATGGGACACTTATTTATCCATTTATGTTTATAACTATCTAGGTCTTTAGAATAAAAAAGAAAATCATTTTGGTGGACCAGTCAAGTGAATAATAAGCAGATTTTTCCCTTCTATTTAATTCAGGGTAGAAGGTTATTTAATTCTTCTGGGAAGAAGCTGGCATATAGAGGAGCCAGCACCCTGATCATGTCCTTATTCCTATCTTGTTGCATTAGATATTTTGGAGAATTTTCCCTTAGCTGAGATTAGTTCTCTCTCTCTCTCTCTCTCTCTCTCTCTCTCTCTCTCTCTCTCTCTCTCTCTCTCTCTCTCTCTCTCTCTCTCTCTTTCTCTCTATCCTTTGCTTCTTTCCCAGTGGGAGAATCCAATAACTGGAATATTCTAATTGGTGTAACTTCTATGATTTCTGTTTGCCATAGTCAAATAAATAAGTTTATTTGGTATTCATTATGTGTGAGGGTCTTCATGCAACTGACATTTAGTGGGGAGGAATTCAATCCTTTGTGTATATAGCTATCAGCATTCCCTGTTAAAGGGATGGTGACCAAGAGTAGAGCTAGAACCTAGAAATTATTTCCCCTCAACTGGCAATATTTAGGGAGAAAGTTAGACACAATTTTAGCTTGATGCCTCCTTTCTGAGGAAAGGAGAGTATGCCAGTCTCTTACCTCCCTCCAGAGCAGTAATTTAAAGTCTTCCTCATAGATGAATGGTCAAAGGAGACACTAGAGATACCTATTCAAACCTCCCTATAAGCCACATCTAGACAAATACATGTAGACACATATAACTTACATTGGCAATACACTCATGCACACTCATGTAATAGAGATAATTGAACATTTCTAGTCATTTGGGGCCATAATTTTGTACTCCACAACCTCTTCCCCTCACCAAAAGTGTCTTGTATCCCCTCAGGAGAGCACACGCCATAGTTTGGAAAATTCTGGTTTAAGGTATCTTTCCTCCTGGGCATATAAAAAGGTCCTCTGAAAACACTTCCAACTCTAAAAATCTATGATTTGATTTTTTTTAAAAAAAGTTTGAAGTTCTAGTGATTTCATTTAGTACCACAACAAGCAGTTGGGAGAATATTTTAAGCAAAGAAGTTTTCCTGGAACCTGGAAATTATCCTCAAAACACTCAATACTCAAAGGGCTACTTACCTTACCTAGTTAAACTGGTTTATAAAGTTCACAAGCAAAAATTGAGGATGTTTTTCAAAGGTCACTCATTTCCTTGTGTGTCCTGTATACTTCTTGTTTAATTCTGGTACTCTGGGGCCTTTGGAAATATTAATAATAGTAATAATAATAGTAATAATAATAGTAATAATAATAATAACAGCAGCAATGCCAGCTAACATTTACACAGCACTTATTAAATGCCAGGCACCATGCTAAGCACTTCAAATTATTATTTCACAACAACTCTGGAAGTAGGTGCTATTATTATTCCCTTTTACAGAAAAGGAAACTGAAGCAATCTGAGATTAAATTACTGGTCCAGGGTCGCACAGCTACTAAGTGTCTAAGAAAGGATTTGAATTCAGGTCTTCCTGACTTCAGACCCAGCCCTCTACCACTGTACTACCTCCAACACTGTTTACCAATGTTTCTGGCTTTTCTATTACTTTTTTTTTTCTGTCCCACCAAGCATAAGCTTGGCCAGAAATTTTGTTTTCCTTATTCCATTTATGTCGATGCTTATGGCTCTGATTACTATTCACATGGTACACAGTGAACTAATTTACAATCCAGAACTACTACCAAGGAAACCTTCAAGATCAAGAGTTTGCTTAGGCAACATTTCTAAAGGAGAAAACACATCCCCATAAAACGGCATGTATTTTCATGAGGCTGGAACTCTGTTTATTGAATAGATGAAGAAAATTTTGTTACTGAGGTCTTACACTCTGACCATACACTTAGTGGACCTAGTATTTGAAAACCATCTTTTAGACCTTCAGATTAAATCACTTCTTAGCTCAAATTTGTGCAAAAACATTAGCATGACTATTTGTAACTTGAAGTAGGCTCATTAGGATGTTGTTTTTTTGTCTCTCCATTTACTATAGGTGCAATTGGCTGATGAATCTAAATGCAGTTATTGCCTTTCTGGGAATATGTTATGTCCAGCAATCAGTGGCCAGAAATTTTGTTTTCCTTATTCCATTTATGTCGATGCTTATGGCTCTGATTACTATTCACATGGTACACAGTGAACTAATTTACAAACCAGAAAAAGGTAGGTGAATATCCTTTCTGAGTATTACCATTTTATTTTTCAACTTTTGCCATTTCACAGAATCACAAAATTTTTGAGTTTGGAAGAGTTTTAGGGATAAAGATCTGTTTCAGTCTAACCTATACTCCCAAAAGAACTTGCACTACAACATATCTCATAAAGGGACATACAGTTGCTACTTGAACATTTCTAATAAAAGGGAGAGAGTCCACCATCTCCCCAGGCAGCCCATTCCACTACTAAACTGCTCTAATAGTTAGGAAAGTATTTTCTTGGTATCAAGTATAAAAGTTGCCTCTTTGCAGCACCCATTCATTGATCTTGGATCTGCTCTCAGGGGTCAAACAAATTGAATCCTTCTTTCATATTCAGCCCTTCAAACACTTAAAAAAGCAGTTATTTCCTCTCTAAGTTTTCTCCAGACAAAATATCCCATTCTTTAACTCATGCACATGGTAGATACTCAAAGTACTGCCCTTCTTTGGATGATTTCCAGCTAATCAGTGAGCCCTTTCTAAAATGTGGTACTCCAAACTGCACCCAGTATTACAGATATGATCTGACCAGGGCAGAGAACAGAAGACTATTACCTCCTTATTCCTGGAAGCTCTTCCTTCTTAATGTGGCCTACAAATTGCTGCCTGCCATATCTCACAGACTTATTTAAGCTTACAGTCCCCAGAAATCTCTAGATCCTCTTTTAAACAAGCAGCACCTGGCATAGTATATAGGTGTTTAATACATGTTTATTAACTAACATGTTTTGCCAATTTTTTTACTTGTGAAGCACAATATTTTTAATCAAAGTTCAAAATTTCTTTTTTTAATTAATCGTGTGATATAATTGGAATATGAAATTCGTGAAGAAAATATCTCTACTAATGCCGATCAGCACTAATTCTTCAACTTATAGTCTTGGAGAACTGCCTGTAGTAATGAAAGTTAAATGACCTGCATGGGATCATACCATGATTATATGTCAGAGACAGAACTCTTATCCTCATTAAATTCCATCTTATTAGATTCAGCCCAATATTCTAGACTTTCAAGATCTTTTTTTTAATCTTGACTCTATTATTCACTCTTAGTTATCCCTCCCAGTTTTGTCTCATTTACAAATTTGCTAAGTATACCATTATGTCTTTATCCAAGTCATTGATGAAAATGTTAAATAGTACAGGTCCAAGCACTTATTCCAGGGGCAATGCATTGGAAATTTCATGCCAAGCTAACAACAAACCATTAATAATTTTTTTTTATTTCAGCCACTCAACCAGTTCCAAATACATCTAATATTGTCTAGCTGACATCCCTCTATCTTTTCTACTAAAATAGCATGAGATATTTTAGTAATTTTTTTGCTAAAACCTAGGTAAACTCTACCTATAGCAATTCTGTTTTCTACTAGTTTATACCTGTCAAAAAGAAAATAAGATTAATCTGGAAAGACTAGTTCTTAAGATCATTTTGGCTCATTGTAACTCTTTTCTAGAGGTTTACCTGTGAAACCTTTAATAATACATTCTAGAATTCTCCAGTCAGGCTCATTGGCCTATTTATTTTGCAGATTCCATTCTTTTCTTTTTGAAAAGCAGGACAAAATTTGCTTTTTACCACTGATACACTACTTCTCCTTTTCACTATTATCTTTCAAGTATCTTTGACAATGACTCAACAATCATATGTGCCAGTTCTTTCAGTATACAAGGTACTAGTGTACCTTGAATTCTTTAAGGACAGCTAAGTACTCTCTTACTATCTATCTCCTTACTTATCTCTCCTTATTTTCTCCTTGAACTCTTTTGACTGCTTGAGTTTCTAATTTGCTCTTTTCTATTATAAGATACTAATGATTATATCTAGTAATAATACTTCCTGTCAGCTAGTTAATAAACATTTATTAAGAAATTAGTATGTGTCGGGCACTGTGCTGAACACTAGAGATGCAAAGAAAGGTCACTTTCCTCAAGGAGTTGACAGTTTAATGGGGAAAGACAATATATAAAAAGAAGCTGAAAAACAAAGGATGGAGGGTGACAGAGGAGAAGGAAGAGAAGGAGGGAACCTCGCTAAGGGGCATGATGAAGTCTTACAGACAAACAGGAAATGATGAGGCATCTGCCTTGGACTAGTCCTTAAAAAATGAATTTTCCTCTACTGAGACAAATCACATTTCCTTTGATTTAGTAAATGCTCTTCAAGAATACTATAGGCAATAAATTCATAATGGTATAGCCAATATGTTGGCAAATTTCTGTTAATTGGAGACCTGGAAGGTGGAATAACAATCTCATCCCAAAGCCTCCCTTTATAGATCAACTGCTCTTCTTGTTTCAACTCAAGAGAACACCATGCTCTCTGAGTTTCCAGCTTCCTTTTGAGTATTGTCTTCCTTCATTAGATTGCAAGCTCCTTAACAGCAGGAACTCTCTTTCTTTTCATTTGTGCTAGCTCTTAGTAAGTGCTTAATAAATATTTATTGAATTGAATTGGATTACTAATTGAGTGAGCCTGATCTTTAGGCCTATTCTAGAAAGCTTTCTAAAATCTTGGGATCTAGCAAAGTTTCAGTAGTCTGACTTTCAAGAAGTCCAGGTAACTAACTCAATATTTAACATACAATCTTAATGCTTTTAATTTCTGCAATGATTTTTAAAAATCAAAAGCCTTCTATGATATATCATCAGGCTTTATCCTTGCAATAGAATGGGCCTATTGGGTAAGTATTGCAGATACCATTTTAAGTGACTTTACAATGTTGCACATGAGTCTTTCTTAAAGCCTTAAAGATTTTCTTAATGAGTTAGTAGATTGTCTATGGTCATAAGATTCTGAACATGCCCAATCTCCTTTTATCTCTGAAACTAACCTCAGTTGGTCTAGTTAGTACTTAGATGGGAGACCACCTGAGAATACTAGTTATCACAGGCTTAAAATGGAGAAGGAAATGGCAAACTGTCATGGACATCTGCGTCCACGGCAGTGTTTGTTTTCCAGTAGAGTATGAGGGAGATAAAGAAATACATGTGGGCCAGGTGGGAGACAGGTAAAGGACCAGCTCCATTTATTAATCTGAGGGCTAGGGTTTTTATACCTCATTCATGGGAACAGAACTCAGAGTAGAAAAAGGCAAAGTATCAACAATTATTTTTCCATGGGAACAGTAACCAGGGGGAGTCTCCCCTGAACAGTTTCCTCACTTCCTATAATCTTCAAGGTCCTTCTGTTTTCAAGAGAGACAGAGCAAGGGAGGTTGGAGAGCCCACATATCTGAGTTAGGCACCCATTAGACAGGGGACAATCAATAGGTAAAACCTGGAATGGACTGAATCCTCTGACTCATCAGTGCTGGCCCTCGACAGCAAACCACTCCAGAATCTTTGCCAAGAAAACTCCAGAGACAGAATTGGCATGCTATATAGTCCATGGGATTATGAAGAGTTGGACACAACTGAATAACAATGGATGGAAAATTTTGAATCAGCATCCAGGTCTGATTCCTAATCATATGATAGTTTGACATTCTAAAAGACCTCCAATTTATGAAATATTGGTCAAAAATGGTTAAAAAAATGCATAACTTGCTGACCAGTCTTCTGGTGATTTAAACTTTCCAAAACTTGCCATTGACAATAGAGTCACAGACTATTGCTGAGTTCATGTGCAAACCTATCAGAACATATACTCTACTGGCAAAGCCTCTGCAAATTTGACATGATTTCCACACCACAAAAAGCCATCAGAATAGGATTTTCATGGGAAAATGCTGATAATAACCTAAAAAAATCTTATCAACCCACAATGTTTTCAGTGATAACAAGGCCTTCTTAATAATTTATAATAATAATCTAATGATAATTAATAATGTATTATAATAATATATAAATAATGTACAATTAATAATAATAATAATACTGGTCTCTGTGGCAGAACTGTATGACCACCTGCAGAGCACTATTCTTGGATCCCTAAAGGGAATCAGGGAAGGAGGTATTCTGAAACTTAGAACTATGGGTAGGAGAACATTCAAATCCTTGAAGTGATCTTGAAGCTTCCTTTCTGTATAATCCTGAGGTGTAAGGTATTGATAATAATAGGAAAAAATCGGTGTAAGGGAGAGAGATTAACAAATCTCAGATTAACAATGAACAATACATGTAAATTTTCTAGGTTTTCTGAAATCCATCTCCTCATTTCTTACAGAACAATAGTATTCTATTACATTCATATACCACAACTTGTTCAGCCATTCCCCAATTGATGGGCATCCCTTCAATTTCTAATCCTTTGCCAGCACAAAAAGAGCTGCTATAAATATTTTTGTACATGTGGGTTCTTTTCCCTTTTATATGATCTCTTTGGGATAGAGATCTAGTGGTGGTATTGCTGGATCAAATGGTATATGCAGTTTCATAGTCCTTTGAATATACAATGATTAGGGGGAAATTAGAGGGAAAATTAACTATCTACACTGAAAGATCATTTTGGTCCATCTTGCAACATGTATTCCTCTCCCAAAAAAGAGAATGGATTTTACTATCAAAAGCTTATTTGAAGTGGAGGGACTGAATTGCCTGAATAGATTTAAATTCACTGAATGGCTTTTCAACTTTGCTTTTTGCCCAAGTAACATTTGAAAATATATCCATATTAATGAAGGGGTCTGATGTTTTTGAAGAGGATAGATATGTTAGTATGTTGAGGGAAACAAAGGGATTCAATTTACTAGAAATATGGCACATGACAAAGAGCACTGAATCTTGGATCAAAAAATCTGTCCTGAAGCCCTGGCTCTGATGGGAAGACACTTTATCTCTCTCTCCCTCAGAGTCTCAGTTTCTGAATTTGTAAAATTCACAAAATTAAAAATTTTTTAAAATGTAAAATTTGAAATCCCCAACCCAGATTATCACAAGGAAAGCATTTTGAAAACCTTGAAGTCTTATAAAAATATGAGCTATTGTTATTGTTAACTCATTCTCTCTCTTTTTTTAAATTTT